AAAGACTCTTCAGATTGGGATGTTGAGAGTAGAAACATGACTTTATGACAAGAAGTCATCACTCAAAGAAGTGTATGCAATAATATCTTGTCTTGTCCTCGAGGTTCTTAACTTGTAGACCCGAAGTTAGATATGATGAAATCCTTTTTCTTGGCCTCAAAATGCCTATCCTTTGAATAGCCATTGACCAAGCTAACATTATAATCCTCCGAAAGACCTTATCGGATAAATTGGATTGTATACATTGCGAACATCTCCGAACACCTAAGGATTGGTTAAGAGAGATAAAATTGAGGAATATCAGACAAATCCCATTTCAATCAAATAAAGAAAAGACCAAGCTCATAGATTGAAACAAATCCTTTCTAATGAAGGTCTTCCAAACGATCATTTCAATCATTTCTTGAAAGATTGTAAGCATTTTGTTCAAATAATTCCTCGAAAAGGAAATTTGATTGTCTAAAATGCATTAATGCAAATAATGCATGTTTCCAGACTAGGTTTCAAAAGTCTCTGGTCAACCTAAAACCAAGTTTTCAAACAGTTTGTGATAAGCTAAAAAAAAACACCACACTTCGAACAGTTTTTAATTAATTTCAAAACTACTTTTCAAAATAGTTTTTGATCAACTAAAAAATCATACAAAAGTTAGTGAAACCTCAAAATCACATAACTCATGGTCAAGGTATTTATTGTTTGAAGTCTTCCCAAAGTCCTATAGGCGAGGAGCCCCTAGGCAAATTCAAGTCATACAGGCGAGGAGCCACTAGGCAAATTCAAGTCCTACAGGTGAGGAGTCTCTAGGCAAATTCAAGTCCTACAGGCAAGGAGCCCCTAGGCAAATTCAAGTCCTACTAGCGAGGAACCACTAGGCAAATTCAAGTCCTACAGGCGAGGAACCACTAGGAAAATTCAAGTCCTACAAGCGAGGAGCCCCTAGGCAAATTCAAGTCCTACATGCGAGGAGTCCCTAGGCAAATTCAAGTCCTATATGTGAGGAGCCCCTAAGCAAATTCAAGTCTTACTAGGGAGGAACCACTAGGTAAATTTAAGTCCTACAGGCGAGGAGCCCCTAGGCAAATTCAAGTCCTATAGGCGAGGAGCCTCTAGGCAAATTCAAGTCCTATAGGTGAGGAGTCCCTAGGCAAATTCAAGTCCTACTGGTGAAGAACCACTAGATAAATTCAAGTCCTACAGACGAGGAGCCTTGTCCCTTAGGAAAATTCAAGTTCTACAGGCGAGGAGCCCCTAGACAAATCCAAAGTCCTACTGGTGAGGAATCACTAGGCAATTTCCAAAGTCCAACAGGCGAGGAGCCCCTAGGCAATTTACAAAGTCCTATTGACGAGGAGTCACTAGGCAAATTTTAAAGTCCTACTGGTGAGGAACCACTAAGCAAATTTCCAAATCCTCAGGCGAGGAGCCTCAGGTGTTCATGGTTCGTCCTTAAACCACGAAATCAGAATAATCATCACCGCCATCAATTCATACTCTTGGATAAGCAATAAAGAGATGCTTACAAACAGGTAAGTTTCTCTCCCTCAATCATTAAGAACCTTTCAAAATATGTTCTGAAAAGAGAACCTTTGGATTATATCACGAATTTTAAAAGCAAGATCCCTAATCAGTTGTTGTGAAATTTCTATCTTATCTTGTTCATTGAGTCGACTAAAAAATTCAGGTGTCACCTTATCTTTGAGATCAACCTCTAACGAGCTCAATCTCAAAGAGGGCAGCTATTGACACCTGATTTTTTAGCTCATTTTTTTTCATATTTTCAAAATCTTAAAGTTAGGAATAGAAATCTTGGCCAAGCCTAGAAACCTATTTCTAAACCAAAAATAAATTTTTTAGCATTTTACTGCATTTTTCTTTAATTTCTTTTAGTCAAAATAAGTAAGAAAATCAAGAAAAATAGCAAATGGAATCAGAAAATTCCATAAAAATAGTCATTAGTCTTCTTTTAAATCCAATTTCATTAATACATCATCAATTTTGAAAGAAATCTCAATCGGGTATGTGTTTTTCCCAAAATTGGGCAAAATCAAACTCGAATTGAACCAAAAATGCAATTAAATATTTTCTAGTCATTTTTAAGTCATAGTATCTTCACAACAAATTATTCTGGTACCTTGAATTACATAATCGTTGGTCCAATTGCACAATTTTTCATAGAAATAAAAAAATCCCCAAAATTCAATTGAAAATTAGGAATTTTGAGCCTAAATTGGGAATCGTGCCCAATCCGAAATTGTCGAACCATGAGACCATCGTTTCTAAGGTTAATCAGATGTGGGTAATTCAATTTTGGTACCAATTTTGCCTAATCAGGTAATTAGGACATCAAATTGAGCAAAACCCTATTAACCCGATTATAAAAATTTAGGACATGATTTTGACAAAAATTGGGGAAAATCACATATTTGGGTTCAGAATGTTATGAGGAATTCAATTTTGAGATTTAATTCTGAAAATTTGATCAAAATCGAGGTTAATTTGAATTTTTGGTCAAAATCGGGCCCGCCGGGTTAACCGGGTCAACCCAACCCAACCCGATGACCCGTTTTCTTCTCCTGGTTCGCCACAGAACGTGCCAAATCCAGAAAATTCTAACTCAAGCCCGTGACTTCGCCTATCTTTTCTAGCCAATTTAACACGTGAAAAACGACTTGGCCAGCTGGAGAATCTCCAGCTGGCACCAGATGTTCGATCCAACCGATCGGAAGTCGTTGGAATGAACTTTGGGTGGGAAAAATCAATGAACAAAAATGAAGAAAAACTGAACACAAGGAGAAGAATGTGTTTGACGAATTGCCGAAGAGAGAGAGAAAAGAGAGAAGAAAGGCGCGAGAGGCATGTAGAGGATCCTGGAACTGAGCGTTCGACGTTTTCTCCGGCGAGGAATCGCCGGCAAATCGGTTCGGAGTGTGATCTTCCATACCTGAGAATCCGTAGACGAAGTTGCTTGCCAAGGCCTGAAAATCAGGCTCGGTCGACGTGCCTCAAGCCATTCCGGTGAATCTAGAGCTACCATCTTGAAGCTGAAGTGTCCAGGAAGAGCTTCACGATCGAGGATTGTCCTGGAAACATCTGTTGATCATCAAACAAGAGAGGTAAAAATCATTCATTGTCACGGCCTCTCAAAATTTCCAGAAAATAAGTTTCATCTCAATATGAACACATATATAATTTTTCTCACGATTCTAAGTCTTCAATGCTTAAAACATGCCTCTGATCATGTTTTGTGTTACATGATTGCATTTTGGGCGTTAAACGAGCATAAACCGAGTCGGCCATTGTCAAAACCATCTCGCCGGAGCTCGAGGACCCCCCGCCGGAGCCTCATTTTGGTCCTAAGACATTCAGGTAAGTGATTCCAGGCCCTTGTTTGATGTTTTGTTGATAGTTAGAAGCGAGTTAGACGGCTAGGGCGAGTAGGATGGTTATTCAGATTCTGGAAATGTAAATCCTAGCCAGTGAAAGTTAGGGTCTGTTTAGTAACGTTTCTGTTTCTTTGTTTTTTTGTTTTTTTGTTCCCCAGAACAGAAAAAGAACAGAAATCCGTTTAGTAAAAAAAATCTATTTTTTTGTTTCTGGAACAAAAAAGTGTTCTAAAAATAGATTTGGAACAGAAACAAGAAGCAAAAAAAATTTGCTTCTTGTTTCTGGAACAAGAAAAAAGAAACATTTTTTTTTCTGAACCCTATCTCTTTCTCACTTCGCCTTTCCAACGCAGTGCTCTTCCTCCCAGCTCACCACCTCCATTGCCTCTGTCCCGCCATCCCTCTCTGGTGGCATCACCTCCGTCCGGTCGGTTCTCTCCGGTTGTGTTGCCTCCGTCCGGTCGCCTCTCTCCGGTGTTGTCGCCTCTGTCCCGTCTTCTCTCTTTGGTGGCATTACCTTTGTCGCCTCTCGTCCAGTCCAGATCTATACACAACTCGCCTCCGGCGGACGCATCAGTTCGGTCGCCCTGTCCAGTCGTGTCGCCTCTCTTTGGTCGCCTCTCTCCAGTCGCCCTTTCTTCGTTCGGCTGTCGATTGCTCCAATTGTGCTCGCCTCTCTCTCGGTTGCTTCTCTTAGTCGAATCCAGGTTTTTTGCTTCGATTCCTTGTGATTGTACATTCTTTAGTTGTGATTCTCACTTCTTGAAGTTGAATGGCTGCATTCTGCATATGGATTTGCTCTTATTGTTTGTAAATTTGAAACCGTAGCGTCGATTGATGCTGTAGCGTTGATTACATTATGCTATCAATTAGTTGGAGTTATCGACCAACTGCTCTTTGTCCACAGCAGCTTCCAAGTTCTCTTCTTAGTCTTGCTTTGTCAGCAGCAAGGACAGCAGTTGATAGTAAATTAGTTTCGTTAAGTATATGATAGGTATATATTGGAGGGATTGGATAGAAAAGAAGAAAAAAAGGTTAGAAACAGGGAAGCTGTTCTTTTTGTTCTTTCTTATTTTTTGTGTCTTTATGTGCTCCTCAACGGACAAAATCTGCAGAGGATACTCAGCACAGGCTTCATTGCAAGATTCCTCCTGTAAATTCTATCGAGTTCCATTGCAACTCATTCTTTTCCTTTTATATTACATGGGATTCTTTCAATCTCACGTGCCGAATGAGTGTCCCTCAGAGGAGATTCAAATCGCGAAATTGTTTCTCTGCCCTTGTATGGCCGAATTCATACACATTAGTCAATCTTGTGTATTCTCTGTTTTGATCATCAGGATCGTGAGGTCTCTGTGTCATACTAAAAAAGAGTAGTGGACAGCTTTTGTTTCGCTGTTAGTATAGGCTGGCTTGCAAAGGTTTGTTTAAGGTGTTTACATATCAATTCACATATTCAATTATTTATTAATGCTAGGTTGTATTCATGCTTGTGGAATCAAATTGGACTTTATAATCTCTTGACTTGGAATATTGTTTTAGGCTTTTTTTAATTTCTAGTCTTTTTTATGAGTAGCTAGACCGGTTAGAGTATTTGGCTGTATGATTTCCTAATCTCTTGACAACGCAGAAAGTGGTTTTCCATCTATATGATTATCATGAACTCATATGATGTTCAACTAGTGAAGGTTAAATGGCATCCCAGAAAGAGGCATTCAACGCAAAGTGGACGGAGTCTTTAACCAACTTGTATGTCAGTTTGTTGGTAGAAGAGGTCAAAAAGGGAAATCGCACCTCTTCTACTTACAACAAAGCTAGGTGGACTAACATACGGACTGAATTCAATAAACGGTCAGGACTCCAATATAATCAAGTGCAGTTGAAGAATAAGGTGAACAAACTGAGAAAACAATATGGTAGTTTTAAGAAGCTTCTTTCACAATCTGGATTTGGCTGGGATAATGTCAACAAAACAGTTGTTGTTGATGATCCAAGTATATGGGAATGTCATGTGAAGGTATCATTTAATCTTTGGTCATTTTGAGATCAATGTACATGTACATGGCAAGAGGTTTCATTGTCTTACTGACGTATATCATCATTGTGAAAATTGCAGGATAATAGTGAGTGGGCAAAATTCAAAAAGGATGGGTTTCCTCAGTATCCTGACTTGTGTATTGTATTTGGTGATACATATGCTACTGGAGAGCATGCAGTGGGAAATGCTGAAGATTTGATGGTGTCGGACGAAGGTGACACTAGTGGTGGTCATGCAGACTTAGGTCGAGAGGATGTGAGTGAACACCATATTGATGAGGGAGTCTTTACATCTGACAAAACTGCTACTCCAGTTCATGATAAGCACAAGTTGGATAGAACTCCAAATACCAAGAGGAGAAAACAGAGTCACTCTTCTATTATTGGTAGCACCTGCAAAGCCTTACAAGATTTGATCAAAACTAGGGCAAGTCAATCTGTGACTGGCTCTATCACCTCACAGGTTGCATCACCACCTGTAGACCCCTACTCTATAGCTGCTGTGATTGGAGTCCTGGTAAGCATGCCCGAGTTAGAGCAGGATCTTTACAACAAGGCAGTGGAACGAGCTTGCGTTAGTCCCGCATGGAGGGAGGCTTTCATCATATCACCAGTTGAAAGGAGACATGGACTTCTCCAATGTCTTTAGTAGATGTTAGGAAATGTACTGTGGATTGCGTGGGGTTTCATTGACTGTATGACTAATGTTGTTGGTTGTTATTTGGTTTTTTAAGATATTGATGTTCAGACTCTTGCATTTGTGTGGTGACTTGGGTACGATGGATTGAATGGAATTTTTATATTTGGTTTGTTTCACTTTATGACTTAAGTTATTTGTTGAACTTATGTTATTTGTTGTTATTGGGTATTTTTTTTCGTATATCTATATTGATGTTCTTGTATTTGTGTTATGGCATAGGTACTATGGAAGGGGGACAAAATAGTGTGTCCAGTGGGCAGGTAGCACAAGTTAAACAGGTTTTGGATGACATTGATATTGACGTAATGATAGTATGGTTGAATATTCTTGAATTGGACATGTCTGTTCATACCAAAGAACCTATTAGGGATAGTAAATTGTCAGGACCGAATGGGTAAGGGAGATTATTTATGGACATTCAGATAGGATATATGAAGCTTTCAGGATGGAGAGACATGTTTTTCTGAACCTATGTGGTTTAATGAGCGCAAGAGGTTGGTTGAAAGATAGTCGATATATAAGGGTAGATGAACAAGTTGGGATATTTTTATCTTTGGTTGATCACAAAAACTCCAATAGAGACTTATGTGAAAGATTCCAACTTCAGGAGCAACAATAAGCAAGTATTTTAATATAGTGTTGAAAGCAGTTATTGAACTGTCAAAAGAAATTATCAAACCATCTTCCTTTGATGTTGTCCCAGAGGAGATTCTTATGGATCCTAACCATAAACGCTACTTCAAGGTATGATTTTCATATTGATTATACATAATCAAATACATGTAGTTGATAATCATGTGTAACACTAGACTTTCATAAAATCTCAGGACTGCGTAGGTGCTATTGATGGCACCCACATTAATGCTTCCATCCCTATATCGCAGCAAATCCCATATAGAGGTAGGAAAGGAAGTACCACACAGAATGTGATGTGTGCTTGTTCGTTTGATATGAAATTTACTTTCGTGTATGCTGGGTGGGAAGGATCTGCCAACGATTGTCGGGTGCTCTCAGCAGCACTCGAGACTCCTCGACTGCAATTTCCTCGACCACCACTCGGTATTTTCGTTGTCTACAAGATATATTTTTCTTTATGATTGTATAACTGTTGCATATCATAACAAATTTATTTATACCTTCTTATAGGCAAATATTATGTGGTAGATTCTGGTTATGCAGCACTTCCAGGATTTTTAACTCCGTTTAAAGGTGAACGGTATCATTTGAACGATTATAGGGGTAGAGGGAGACGGCCCAGAACAGCGAAAGAATTGTTCAATCATAGGCACTCTTCACTTAGGAATGTCATTGAGAGGTCATTTGGAGCATTAAAGAATCGCTTTTTCATTTTGGGACACATGCCTCCATTTTCAATTTGAAAGCAAGCACTTATTGTAATTGCTTGTTGTGCTCTCCATAATTACATTCGTGAGGAAGACAAGATGGACAAAAACTTTTCCCATTATGGAGATCCGGAGTACCCGTTCGGACCTACACAAATGGAGGTTGCAGACGATACATCACTTACGGGGGTAGCTGAGATAAACGTGATTAGAAAAAATATTGCAAATAAAATGGCAAGGGATCATAATATGGATGAGATTCCATGACTTTGTATTTTCGACTTCTGTAATGTTTGTTGTAAACTATTATGAATACATTTATGTTAATCGTATTAAGGTCATCCATGACTTTTGTAATGTATTTGTAAACTATTATGGATACATTTTTGTTAATCGTATTAAGGTCATCCGATTTTATATCATATATGTTATGATTTTATTTTTTAGGCCATGCCACTCTCATAATGACCACATAAAAGTGTTTTTTTTTAAACGTAAAAATCATGAGCTTATGAATGTTGAAGTGATTAAAAAATACCAAAGAAGTTATCTTCTTCAAAAACTTTAAGCAAATAATCATATGAAAAAATTAAGAATAATTTTTTTTTCGGGAATAGAAATTTTGTGCAGTTACTAAACGCGTTTCTATTCTTTTTCTATTCCAGGAATAGAAATTTTGTGTAGTTACTAAACGCTATTTTTTTCTTAGAAACTGTTCCAAGAAATAGAAATAGAAAAAACTATTTCTGTTCAAAAATTGTTTCTAGGAACAGAAATGTTACTATGCAGACCCTTAGTGTTTTTTAGACTGGATTTTGCCGGCCGACGAAGGTCCGGCGACACTCTGGTTGGCTAGATTGGTAGTGGGTAATATGGAATTTGTAGTGAATCAATCGGAGTGGCAAAAACACTCACCAGAAGGTCGCCAGAGACTGGCTCGAACCGGTGGCCTCAAAAACGCTTAATACAGAACTATGCACACCACCTATTCGGCATAATGCCCCAATGAACAAGAAGCAAAACGGCGACGTTTTGGCGTCGTACACGCCGGAGAAGGTGACTAGCGTTGGCGCCGGCGAAGCCCTATTCATTTCCCTGCGGGAAATTTAAAAAAATCCAATAAAAAAATCTAAAAAAATCCAAAAAAAATCAATAAAAACTTTGAAAAATTAAAAAAAAATATTAAAAAATCAGGAAAAATTCAAAATTTTTAAGAAATTCGGAAATTTCAGAAAAATAGGAAAATTCATAAAATTCAAAAATTTTCAGAAAATTCATAAAAATTCAGAAAATACAAATAAAAAGTGTGAAAAATTCAGGAAAAAATCTAAAAAAAATTGGAAAATTGGAAAATTCATAAAAAATTTCAGAAAATCATAAAAATCAATTCTCGGTTAATGAAATTCTCAGAAATTCAATTTCCAAAAAAAAAATTAAAAATTTCAAAAATTCACATAATGGTTTAAAAACACTGTGGCCAACCTTAGAAAGTGAAATTTGAATTTTTGGAAGTGCCCAAGTGGCATTTTTAGAAAATCTCAAATTCAGGGGTTATAACCCCTAAAAAACCCTAAAAGACACAAAGCATGAAATGAATAAGCTTCTATGGCTTCACTAAGGTTTGGATGTTTTGATTGATTTTCATTTTTAGAGACCATTTAGGATTAATTGATTTGGTTGACATTGATTGCGCATTTAATTCTTGATTGATTTTCCTCGCGATTAGAATGGATAGAATTAGTGGGTAAACCTCGGAAACTTGCATGACACGTTAGACATCGTATCGTTCTTAGGTACCGAAAGGGCGTTAGGGATCTCCATTCGGGATCATTAGCGTAACCAAGTCCCCGTACTCAGAATCTTTGGTTCGTAGAATCGTGGTATTTCTCCCGTACCCCGATTATGTTTCTAGTCTACCTACCAATAATGACTAGTGGCGACTCCAAAATCAAAAACTTAGACCAAATAGGAAATTACCATCCGCTGTCACGTGAGGTATGGTCTGGGAGAGACCCTTACACGGAAATAACTCCTTAGCACGTAAATCCCAAAAAAAAAGGCGCGGCACAACAATTACTAACCTTCTTTGTGGCATCTCAGGCATAACATTTCACATAATCATGATAGGTGTATATGTGAGTTGGATTTGCTTGACAAAAATTCCTCTGGGTCCGATGATGACAAGGAAGGATGACTATGATCGGAAAAGTATCGAATGAGATTGGATTCGGCATGAAGAGTCTAAGCCGTTGACCGCAGAGCCTATAATCACAATAAATCTGGGTGATTTAAAGAATGTTAGAGAAATCAAAATTGGAGCTAGCCTTTCTGAAATCAAGGCTAGAAGGATGGTCGACCTTTTAAAGGAATACCAAGATGTGTTTGCATGGTCATATGCGGATATGCCGAGGTTAGATAGGGAAATTATAGAGCATGCTCTCCTAATTGATCCGAGTATCCCGCCTAAGAAACAAAGGCTCAGAAGAACAAAGCCCGAATTATCCAAGAAAATCGAAGAAGAAGTCATGAAGTTGTTGAAAGTGGGTTTCATAGAAGTGTCGCACTATTCTGATTGGATCGCCAATATAGTCCCTGTCATGAAGGATGATCGGGTCAGGGTTTGTATTGACTATCGCAACCTGAATCCAGCAAGTCCAAAAGACGACTTCCCGCTGCCTCACATTGATGTGTTGGTCGACAGTACCGCGGGATTTGAGTTATTCTCTTTTATAGATGGGTTTTCTGGTTACAATCAAATTCGAATGAAAGAAGAAGATAAAAGTAAGACCTCCTTCATTACTCCTTGGGGGACCTTCTGTTATAAGGTAATGCCTTTTGGCTTAAAGAATGCCGAGGCAATGTACCAAAGGGCAATGGTCACCCTGTTCTATGACATGATGCATAAGGAGGTGGAGGTCTATGTAGACGACATGATTGCCAAATCCAAATATGGAGAGGACCACATCGAGGTGTTGCAGAAATTGTTTGACCGACTCCGAAAGTTCAAGCTAAGACTTAACCCCACCAAATGTGTGTTTGGGGCAAAGTTTGGGAAATTACTGGGGTTCATGGTCAGTAGTCGAGGCATTGAAATTGACCCGTCGAAGGTTAAGGCCATTTGTGATTTGAAACTTCCTTCAACTGTCAAAGAGATTCGAAGTTTGCTAGAAAGACTGAACTATGTGGCGAGATTTATTTCTCAATTGTCTAAGATAGCTAAACCTTTCTTCAAGCTCCTGAAAAAGAACGCCAAAGTCAAGTGGGATACCGACAGTCAAAAGGCCTTTGAGGAAATAAAACAATACCTCTCTCATCCGCTGGTTCTGGTGCCACCTGTTCCTAGAGTGCCATTGATACACTATTTGACTACACATGATGAATCGTTGGGAGCCTTGCCAGCTCAAAAAAAGACCAAGCGATGACAAAGAATGTGCGATATACTATCTCAGTAAGAAGTTTACTTCATCCGAAATAAATTACCCTAGAGTTGAGAAAACGTGTGTGGCTTTGGTGTGGGTGCTACACCGCTTACGCCAATACACACTCCATCATCGGATTCTGCTTGTAACTGAGAATGATCCCATCAAATACTTGCTAGAAAAACCTGCGTTAGTTGGAAAGTTAGCAAAATGGCAACTTCTGGTGTCCAAATTCGATGTCCACCGCATAGCGCAGAAATCCATCAAGGGAAGAGCCATAGCTGACATATTGGCAGAAAACGTCGAAAGGTTGGAAGA